AAGAAGTTATTATACAACTTTGTTGGAAAAAAATTAAGAGATAAACTATATTTAGGTAATGCTTTGTTGGAAATAGGAGGAAGGAATATGAGATACTTACAAAAAAATTCAAATTTTAAATTTATGGTTATCTTTATAAATCTTCATGTGCATGAGTATGTCTAGATAATATCATAACTTTTAAATTTTCAAATACATAAATCATAATTAATTTAATTCATAAACTATAATCAAATAGAAATTTAAAAAAGCACATTAATTACAAGCTTATAATTTACAATTAACTTAAGTCTCTAGTAAAATAAAGGGTCTAAACATATAGAAATATACAAATCCTTCAATCTAAAACACCGTCATAGCCATGTATAAAGTATGTATGAAGTGTCTACGTGAATAAATTGTTTTAACGCAAAAATTGTCAGCACGGCAGTCACGTGGCTGCCAACCACCTCATTGTAATATTTTAAGTATTAAAACCCTCTCTTTGATACTTCTGTTCTTGTTCCCCTTTCTTTCTGGACTACCAACTCTCCTTCTTATACCCATTTTATTTTTTATTATTTTATTTTTCTCAACAACTTTCTTCCAGTACTATTTAATCTCTTCTTCTTCTTTCTGTGCCCCACTTGAAACGAGCTGTCTGATAGTGTGACATCCTCCCTCTAATACGATAATGCTGTTAAAAATAAAAACTAGTCTAAATCAAAGTTTAAATTTCATGTTGTTTCTAAATCGAAAAAACGTGCATAGTTAGTATGAAGTTTTTTTTTTTTTTTTTTTTAAACATTACATGAGCTGTGTAGGGGTACTAGATCTTATATACTACCTAATCTCAATACTAGGGTGGACGAAAATGAAGACGGTAGAATCACAGAAGAGGAAGTCAAAGAGGTAAAAAGTTTAATCTAATTTTTTAAGCATCATTTTTGTTTTTTCAATTAGGCTTTCTTAATTGTGTGAAATAATTTTTTATAAAAATATATGGGTTTGACTATGGTTATTTTCATAAAGTATGTTTTAAATAATTTAGTTTAAAGCTGGAAATCTAAAATAATTGCCATGAATTAGCCGCCATTACTCAATCAATCAGGCTTTATTTTTTAATATTTAAAAAAAAAAAAAGACAAAGTTCCCATCTCTCTATTAATTTTCCCTGACATATCAACTTACATTTACATCAATTTTGAATTTACTGATGCCACATGGACATTGGCACACAAGTACATACGATGTCAATATTTTAATTCTTTAGAGAGCGTTGCCAACCCACTTCGCCTCCTCTCTCCTGCTTCAACCAGTCGTATCATGTTTCTTTCCCAAATTAGTACAGCCTATTCTTCACCAATTGCACTCCCGAGACCCGCGTCTCCATGACTGTATACACCGAGATATATGGTACTTCGTAATTGACGAGGAGGAAGAAGAGGCTGCTGAATTGGCTCTTAGAGAAGAGGAAGTTCGAGCTCTAAAATTAGAGATTTGGATCTTTGTCGGTACTTCTTCCTCTTGAGATTTTCTGCTGTTAAAGTGACAACAGAGAATTTATTTTTATCAGGTCTGCTACTTCAGATGCAGGTCCAACTTTATTCTGTTTTATTTTATTTTCATGCTACAAGGCACTGGTAATCGCATCATCAGTTTCTTTACTGGATACCATTAAATTCCGAAAGGACACAACTAAAGCCTTAAAAAAAATCCCATTTTTCTTCTTTTGTTTGTTTTCCCTTCAAGAACTCAAAAACCCTTCTTACCTCTTATGATTTTTGACGCAGAAAGCGTTTTAAAAGCTTGCTTTATTGTGCCCTATTTTTTTTTCCCTTCCGCCCAAATTTCAGCAAAGCTTCAGTAATCTCTCTCTCTCTCTCTCTCTCTCTCTCTCGTTTATTTTTTCTCTCGGCTATCAAAGGAAGAACATTTTCCTCAAATACCTTCAGTCACTTGCTTGCCCTGTTTGTTCCCTTCGCTTGGTGCGTCTTCTGCATTGAAGAAGAACTAAAATTAATTAATTAGTTTATTAATTAAAATTTATTTAATAATATTGTTATTTTAAAAAATATTGACTTGGTGTCCATGCGCATGTTGAGGTGAACGTAATATTAATGAATTCAAAACTGGTGTACATAATAATCAACGTGATATATATATATATATATATATATATAGTTGGCAATGAATTAACGCAAACAGAAACTGGGTGTCATTTGTTCTCATAATAATCAACGTGAGGATTTGGGAACTTATTTCCAAAATGATCAATTGTTGCATGTTCTTTGAGGTAGCCAATGTTCACAAACATTTTTATTTTCCTATAATTACACAGATATTATTCTTATTATTTTTTTGTGATAATTAACTGAGAAATTTATAGTTTTTTTTTTTTTTTTTTTTTTTTTTAACTTTTCATTTGCTGTAGAAATGTAATTATGGAAAATGTATATGTAATTATGGTAGGTCTAATTAACTTAATACATGTACATGTTTTCATATTTTCTTATTGAATTAATTTAAAAGTCATATTTTTAAAAAGATATTATATTACTTAGTATTCTATTTAAGTTAGGGGGGGGGTTTTTTATGTGGTAAATAGATCATCAGGCTAAGTGCATCAGCAAACGAGTTATCCGGATTAAAAGAAGAGCCACATGAATTTGCAGCACTGATAATGGAAGAATTCGACCTTGAAAGACTTGGCTACATCGAGGTGGGTCCTGTTGTCTACTCTCTACACACAACATGCATATGTACATATAATATAAATATATATTATATATATCTTAGCCAGCGTGAGTCTATTTCCAAAGTAATTTCCAGGTATATATTAAGTAAGATGGGTATTGCATCTGATCTAACATTGACTACAATTTTCTAATTAACGAGATAATTAAAAGAATAGTTAATTATATTGCGTTGGACTTTTTCTTCCATAAACTTCACTGTTAGATGATGCGACAACTAACCAAATCTTCCAACTCTTTTGAGTTACCCTGCAGAAAGAAAAGCAAACAGTATACATATATATGTGTATTATATGTATATCTATATGTACATATGTCGACTGCAGGAATTAAGACCTAACTAATTTGTTCAAGTCCAAATAAAACTAATAATAGTAGCATTTAGTGAAACTTGTGTATTGATTTTACACTTATCTTTCTATGGTCTTGTTTCTTTTTCCTCTCTAAACAAATGGCCGGTTTAGATTTTCCCGTGAAGAATTAATCTACATTTGTTACTTTATTGATCTGGTATTTTTCAACTGTGTTCGTTCTTTTTTGTCAAAACTGTTTAAAATATATATTTTGATTTTAAAAGGTTATAAATATGTACTACAAGTGCTAAAAGTTACAAATTTTTACTGAAAGGAAGGTTCTACCATTCTGAAAATTTCAACCCTAGCTCATTAATCTTCATTCCAAAGTTTTAATTAGAGTTATAATATTTGATATGAAATCACTTTATATTTACATTAAAAAATTATATTAAAAACCACGAAAATATCTATCATTTGATAAAGTTAATTATTTTTATATAATAAAATATCATGCACGTAATATTATAATTAAAAAAAATTAATAAACTACTTCAAACAATAAATCAGTAATGCAAAATTATAATTCTTATTTGGATAGACTTTATTTGACATTATTTTAAAATATTTTATATGAAATTATAAAAATAGTTATACTTATAAAAATAACTAGTTTTCTTTATTTTAAGTTTCAATTAAATATTTATAATTTTTTAAAAAAAATTTGGCAATATTTTGGACTTGAATGGTTGGGACCATATGTTTTCTAATTCAGAGTTAAGTTTTGTTTTCATGTATTTTCTTTAGAAATTATTTTTATTGTGTTATGAACAGTTTTTTTTATATCAATTATATTGATTTCTACAACAAAAATTAATTTGATTATGTTAAAACTAGAATGTCTCGGCAGCTATTTAAGCAAAATTTAGATATTTATGCCAAAGGTCTTAGCTTTATTAATGAGTCAGCATGTTAGCATCAATCAAATTAAAAGATATAATTAAAACGCATATAACCTAATCTAGTTAATTATAGACTGGACCAGCGAGTTAGAGTCCTGACACAGTTTTGAACACTTGATGATTGACCATTCTGAACTAATAATGTTCCTGTCAACTGTCTTGTGGCCTTTCATACAGCACAGAACAATACAAAGGTGGTGGTTAACATGTGAGTTGTTTTCTCCAGATTATGCGTGCTCATCATTAGTCATGCAAAATATATATATACAGTGATGACTGACGTAGACGCCTCCCCCCGTACTGCATTTTGCATCACTTATAGTGTTGTTAGTTAAGGATGATGAAAGATTATTATTTTTTTTTTCTGCTTGACAATTTATTGGACAGTACATGATGACGATGATCAATGTTAATTTCATATTTCATATTTCATATATGGTAATGCTATATATGTATATACGTATACATATTCAGTTGTGGCAACTTGAGACATTGTTTTTACAAAAGGAGACGTACCTAGACTACAGTCAAGAATTGAGCCAGAATTTACGGAGAAGCCGCATACAGAGACTGAGCAACAAGTTGATGTATTATTTGCAAGATAACTGGAGAAGTATTTGGATGTTGTCAGTTTGGGTAATGATCATGATTGGATTGTTTGCATGGAAATTCTTTCAGTACAAGCAAAAAAGTGCTTTTAAGGTGATGGGTTATTGCCTTCTTATAGCCAATGGTGCAGCCGAGACACTCAAATTCAACATGGCTCTTATCCTTTTGCCTGTTTGTAGAAACACCATCACCTGGCTCCGGTCTACAAATTTCAGCTCATTTCTCCCTTTTGACGACAACATCAACTTTCACGAGGTCAATTCACTGTGCAATATCATATAATAACTATATGTAATTTGCATATTTTTTCTGTATATAACTACATGTTTACGTACTTACTTGCAGATGATTGCAGCAGCAATTGTAATTGGTGTAATTCTTCACGCCGGAGATCACCTCGCATGCAATTTCCCTAGGCTTATAAATGCATCTTCTGATAACTATAATAACTTTTTGAGTAGAAATTTCGGTACCCAGAAACCCACATACTTAGACCTTGTTAAAGGTCTAGAGGGTGTTACAGGAATTTTAATGGTTATCTGCATGGCTATTGCATTCACATTAGCAACAAGGAGGTTCAGGAAAAACCAGATTAAGCTTCCAAGGCCCTTTGACAGATTTATAGGCTTCAATGCCTTCTGGTATTCACACCACCTGTTTGTCATTGTCTACATCTTTCTCATCGTCCATGGGGTTTTCCTTTACCTCGTACACGAGTGGTACCTAAAGACGGTATATTAATTTTGGAAACTTTTTTTCTCATCAATTAAGTTACAGGTTCATCCACAAGCTGAGTACATGACTTTAAATATAAGATATTGAGATCGTTTTTTTGGTCAATTATTCAGACATGGATGTATCTTGCTATCCCAGTTTTACTATATGTTGGAGAAAGAACTCTCAGATTCTTCCGCTCTGTCTCCTACACTGTCCAAATTTTGAAGGTAGAGTGCAGGAGCTTCTGAATATAATATATATATATATATATATTAAATCAAGGTTAATTTCCTTGTAACTTTATTTTATGATATTTTAGGTTGCCATTTACCCTGGAAATATTCTTGAATTGCTAATGTCAAAGCCTTCTCAGTTTCAGTATAAGAGCGGGCAATATGTGTTTATTCAGTGCCCTTCTATTTCTCCATTTGAGTGGTAAAGACGTAATGATGATCTTATTCTGAATCTGCACAGTATATAATACCCAGTTCTATATCTTGTTTGAATGCTTGATTTTAATAACTCTGCAGATTATTTGATGCTAATATTCAGTCTAATATATATATCTGATCAGGCATCCATTTTGTATTACGTCTGGTCCTAACGATGACTACCTGAGTGTTCACATTAAGATAGTAGGTGATTGGACACGACAGCTTAAATGTGTATTTTCAGAGGTGCACAAACCTCCTGCAACCGGAAAAAATGGACTTCTGAGGGCTAATGAAACAACAAAGGAAAGGTATGTCAGATTCCTCTTTCATATATACTCCTAGTTTTTACTTTCCTAAAGCAATTTGTGACTCTACTCTCTTATTAGCAGCTTGCCAAAGTTCTTTATAGATGGACCTTATGGTACCCCTGCACAAAATTATAAAAAGTATGATGTTTTGTTACTTATTGGTCTTGGAATTGGAGCAACACTCTTTATTAGCATCTTGAAAGATCTGCTCAACAACATTGTTAAAATGGAAGAGCAAGCGGTCAGTAACTCATGATGCTCATCATCTCTTGTAAAAGAAACAAAATCTGACAATTGTTTTTGGGTTTGCAGGATTCAGACTCATATTTAAGTATGACATCAACCTGAGTGCAGGAGTAATGATTCCAGCAATTCCAATAGAGTTTATCAAAAAGTAAAAAACTCGTGAAGACCACTAATGCTTACTTCTATTGATACAAGGAACAAAGTTCTTTT